TCAGTGAAAGTGCTGTGAGACGGGACCTACGGTTTTTCGTCCTTATCCGAGAAGACTAGAAAGTCTAACCATTTGCAGATGTCATTACAAAGGCAGAACGTTTTTCACAGTTATTTTAAGACCCTAAGTGTTGGTCCGGCCGGGGTTGAACCCGCGACCTCCCGCTCAGCAAACCGGCGCTCTCCCAACTGAGCTAACCAAAGAAAAATCTGTCATAGGGTTTTGAGTTTATTGACATTTTTTGTAAAAATGCGGTTTTAAACATATGCCTATTAATAATCTCAAACGTTTTTTACCTATGAGAAAATAAATAGCATTTTCTTAAAGTTCGAGCATTTTTTGTAAAGGATACCAAAAATCATGGAAATCGGTTTAATCATTCCTGCGGAAAACGCGATTCAAAAACATAACCAACGCGCATATAAATAGGTTCGGGCCACCTTAATAAGGTAAAACGTTTTGGTTCCATAATGGGCACCATGCATAGTTTACGTCAAATTAGGCTTGAACTTCCACTAGCCAGCACAACTAAGTAGATATATTGCTTACTAGCTTTGTCATTTGGCATTGGAACATAATTAGAGTATTATCTCCGTCACTACTGTGTCAACCCTTTGACGTACATGCAAATTCATACTGATGCTGATGTTTTATCCACTAGGAAAAAACTCAGAAAAATCACCCCTCCCCCTCCCCCGCTCCCCACCTTGTACGTCCAAGCGACCGAGGGTTAACTCTATGGCGTTTTTATAGATGATAAAAAAAGAAAGAAAATGAAACGCAAATGAAGCAAATCGAGTTTTACTACGACTTCGATGAAAGCTGTGGTATTTAACAATTATTCCTCGAGCATTGTTAATGAGTAAAATCCAACTAGTTGGTCAAAAATATCGAGACAAAACAACTTTAGCTAGCAAAACGCAATTCGATTCAGCCGCCATTGTTTTGGTTTTCAAACCGGGTGCTTTTCGCTACCAGTGGGCTATAACATATAGCCTAGTAGTAGCTCAACCAATCAGAACGCGTCATTGATAATAGACCACTAGTTCGATTTTACTAAAGTCAACTATTATGCCGTGCCCAAACAAGTAAGTCCTTCAACGAAATAGATGATTCGTCGATAAAGTTTAGTTATTCACAACAATTAACAAAAGGCTTTGCTGATTTAGAGTCAATTACTCATGCTTAAGTCTAGGAAGAGCAAACAACATTTTTTGTGAAGAATCTAACTTAGAAAGAGTTAAGAAAGTACTTCATAAATTGTGAAAGTGTTTTTCGAACGAACTAAAATTGCTCGGTCTTGACAGAAGAGATCATCGCTAACAAAATGAAAAGTTGATACATATGTGCGTAATTATCAGCATGGGGAAAAGTCTTGCAAAAGTTCACGACTTTAAATGTCGATTCGTATGCTTCAGCAAATATTTTCAGAAATTCTAAAAGCATTAAATATCTCAATACGAAAGAGAAAATATATTGTAATTTGCAATCAACAGTCTTTTCTGAAAAAAATTAAAACGGATATTAAGCTTTCAGACTAAATAACATTTTACATATTAATTTATTCAAGGGTTCGGCTGTGTAACTTGAGGTCCTTTATGCAAGCTTGCCATGGAATCTCAAACTGATACTGAGTTCACCTGCTTACTTCAATCTATACACCCTCCGTAAACCTATCCTGGCTTGATATCGTTTTGAAAAAACTATTATTGATAAATGATTCTCTATTCATTTGAAATAAGAAAAGAGAAACACAACTATTAATCGCAATGATCTTGTTTTCTTGCTTATCTTCAAAATAGAATTTTTCCCAATTAACTGAACAAAGGAATAACTTTTTGTTCTGTATGTTATTTGGGGAAGATTTTCTTAAAATTTAGGATATGTTAGAAGAAATCAACATTGATCACATAACGCCAAGCATCCCTTTGAAAATTTCGTTACGCTTTACCCTCAATTTTTGGCAGTTTTTTGTTGATGTAAGTAGACAAGAAGAAAAAGAAAATTAGCTAGCCATCTCCTGCTGAGTTGACTGGGAGCGAACTGGCCGGTGACCAATTTTCGATTATCAATAATTTACTTAGCTATATGAGCTTGATGCTCTACGAATAATGTATTCAACTAAATGAAAACATTTGTATTGGGTTCGTTATTAAGTATTAATCAATAGCAAATTGTCACCATCGCAACACTGTCTATATGTTGAAGTTATCAACTACTTTGGGAAAAACGGTTCCAAGATACTGAATACCGCACCGAGACTCCTAGAAACTGGTGAGGATTTTCGTTTTGTCCCTTTCGTAACTTTAATGATTCCTTTTTAAACCGAGGGTAAGTGCGTTTTGTTGGAGTTTTCTTCTGTGTATCTCACTACCTCATGGCTTGCCGTTAGTTTAGTACAGTGTAAGGCCCCAGCATCCTGCTGGTCAAGTTTCGTGTTCTTTAAAAGTTATTAATGAAGAAAAGTCTCAAAAAAAGTGCAAGAAGAGAAGAAATAAGTGAGTTATTAATAAGTAGCCAATTGTCAAGGATTCACACAACTATGCACAGAATTGCAATTATTTTTGCACACACGATCAGATCTCAGTTTTTTATTCCTACAGTTCATTTTGCATAAGGAACATTATAGCTTCCCTCTTCGACTACTTCTGATCGGAGGAACTTCGTCTTTTCCTACAAACGACATTTATAAGGGAAGAAGTCCTGACGAAGCACCATAAAAGGCTTGCAACTATTAATTCTTACTGTTGTCGCGCGAACTCATCTACATCGATGTTTGAGAATTTCAAAACGAAAAGGACCTCTGTGAATGTCCAGACGAATGACGTTTTTTTCTCGGTAGTAGTATGTTGTCTATTACAGAAAAGAGGGATAATTTAGTTTTAAAAGCCGTCTCTTTTTTTTTCGTTGTTGTTTTAGCTCATGAGCGCTTAGTGCAGAAAAAACCTCCCCTGAGCCAAAAATAACACTACAAATTTCTAGAAATGAGCGTTAAAATTCAAGGTAGTGGCCACAGAACTCCTGCGGTGTCTTTTTCATTATTTTATTTTAGTATATTTTCTGAATGGTATTAGAGGATCGAGCATCAAACGAAACGATATTTCCACAGTACGGTGAAAATAATGGCCTGTTCAGCGTGGAATATACTCCGGATTGAGAAATCGGGTTTTTTCAGATGGTGAGCTCTAAAACTGTCTTTTTTTATTAAATTTTTATAGACATAAATGATTGATTGTTTGGTATGTCTTCGTGAAAGGAATTATTAGCGGCAACCATTTGAAAATTCCATTTTCATTAACGTGGGCGATCTGTTTGTCGTTAGTCAAATTACCCCTTAAATAACTGAAGCCAGCCGTGGGGTGATGACATTTACGTTTTAGCTTCCATTAACCGGTCGCGGGCCGTTAATTAACTGTGCCAGTTGACAATAGTATCGGTAACAAAATTAAAACTTGATGTGCTAGTTTCTTGTCGAACTTGTATTATTGCATGGTATTAAGTGCGGGAAGTTAGAGAAATTCGGCGCATGATCGATAAAACCCACAGCACGCTATATAGCTACTGCGAACATCGAACTAATCTCGGGAAACTGCATGGTAGAAATCTCATGTAAGTGCAGTTTTAGACTTTTCTAAGTAGATTTCTTTAAGGGTCTCCAAGTGCCTGTTTCCTACTTTTTGACGTTCTTTTTAAATTTGCTCATTGAAAATTTCACTGGCTTTTATGATTTCCCTTAAGGTGGAGAAAAACAGCTAATTAAAAGTAAAAGTTTTTTGCAATTCTGGTTCTCTAATAATAATTGTCGCCTGCGTACCAATTTTGGAGTCAATACAGTGATTCTTTGCTTTCGCTACTGTTACCATCACAACCATCGTAACCATCAATTGACGATCCTTTTTTATACAATTTACCTCGAGCAGATTTTACTATTTTTCAACAAAAACATGATACTTTTTAAAACTCTTATTTTCCCTCTGATCATATGAATTCGCATTATTGAGGACGATCATCGTTTTCCATCGTTTCGATAACGAGTTGAATGTTTGTGCGAGGGCGTTAAGGTTGCTAGTTATTTTACCGATTAAGTTTGAAATAGAAAACTAGGCTTCTACGCTGGTATCTGCGTTTCTTAAGGATGTAAAACGGTGGCACCCAACGACAATTTTCGGAAAATATCTGTTCGGAAGACGATTTGAGATCTAGAATTTTCGGAACATTTGTTGTAAAATTTTTTGGTTGCCTTCCTCTCCTAGGATTTTCGAACATCTAAAAACCACCATAATTGCCCATTTTTTTTTTATTTTTAAGAGGTCACCTAGAATTTTCGGGAGCCTTTTTTCTGGCTGAAATTTTCGAAAAGGTAAGTTTTGATCCCTATAATTTTCGGATCACTAGACTTTCAGCTAGGAAATCCGAACAGATGAAAAATGTTTAGGGGATAAAAATATGCCTATATCTACTGTTTAAATACTAAAATACGTTTAACAATGCTATGTTTAAGTGGTTTTGAACTATATTCTCATTGGGTGCCCCTGATAAAATCACTGAGGAAATATAACGATTAAGTTTTCTTATCATGACACAAATTTAAGCTTAAGCAGACTGATCACAAAGGGCTTTTTTGCAACGAAGGGGAAGCAGTAGGGGTAACGAAAATCACTCTTTTATCGACTTTTGAAAGCAAACAACTCAATTTCGTGAGTGAGGCTTTCAGTTGTCTTTCCTCTTTTTATTTTCCGTTAACCCTTTTTTATTTAGGGGGTTTTGAAATGAACAGCGTCCTAGGGATGGCGAATTGCGAATCACTTCGGCTGTTATGTTGTGTTAACTCTTAATGGAAATTTGTATACAGCTTGTTTGTGATCATTAAACTTCCATTACATTCTTGTAACGTACTTAAAACATAGGAAAAGGCTACAAGTGACAAGATACGAAAAACATTTTGTGAAGTGCGAGTTTTAACAATTTACTTTTCTATACTTTAGCCGGGAGTTCCAGACATGACGGCGAGAATAGTGTTCAGTATCTCAGTTGTGGCTCTCCTGGTCTACCTCGCAGTAACTCAAAAATGTCCTGCAAGTGGAAGATCCGAGAGCTCCATCATTGGCTGGATGTTACGGGGACACGTATACGACACTCTTCTAGCGGAACTTCCGTTTGCATGCGTATTCAAGTGTCGAGAAGACAATCGATGCCAAAGTTTTAACTGGGTAATCCCCCTTCTCACCTGCGAGTTTAACAACAGGACAAAGGAAGCCAGGCCGGAGGACTTCATTCCAAACCCAGACAGATCTTACTATCCACGCGATTTAAAGCGAGGTAAGCCAGCATACCAAGGAGGGGCGCGGGGGGAACTCCCTATAATGCCATAATGCCCTATACGGGGAGGGTCCGACTGAAAGGGTAGCGTTTGTCAGGCTTCAGGTATATCAAAAGAGTTAAATGATTTCACTATTTAAAGTAAATGAAAGGGTAGGAGACTCGATTAGGCCTGTCAAAGGACCTAAACGGGCTAATAGAAGGATTTTATGGCTAAAAAAAGTCGGGAGATTTCTTTTTTTCTGGGGAAGAGTGGGGTACTCAACAAAGTTTTGTACGGAGAGGCATTGCAAAAAATAATAAAAACCACAACGTTTCCTCGACTTTTTCACAAGCATGGAATGCATCTGTTAGCCCTTTTGAGCCTTTTTACCCACGGAAATGACAGATTTCCCTACCCTTTTATATACCTCAACTTGTGAAATCCCTACCCTTTCATATACCTGAAGCCTGAAAAAGATACCCCGTTCGGCCGGAGCCTCCTCATATAGTCAAGCCATTAATAGTGAGTAACTCCCCTCCCCCGGGGACTAAGTTACATTTCCCAGAACTTCGCATGAACATTATTATTATTATTAATCTGTATTTTGGATTAAATTGAGCCCACGTAATTGTTGGTTTTCACATGACGTCACTAAAATTCAAACTAAAAAACTATCGATTCTACCGTGATTTTACTTTCACGATGCATTAGAGCAGCTGAAAACTAATATTCATACAAATTTTCGCCTCAAAAGAGTTCTTGGTTTTCTGATAGAGGACGCTTGAATTTCTAAGCTTTTGCGTGACGCGGCATTTACATGACGGCCAAGAGAGCTGTCATGTAGGTTAAAAAAATTACTTATTTCAGGAAATTTTGCTATCTAAACAGTCCATATATTAGAAAAAGTATTACTTTAATGTTTATGAGTTTCTCGAAGAATAAATTCACGCTTTTGTAGCAAAACTCGATAACAGATGTTTCTGTTGGTTTCCGTCCGCCATGTTGGAGCTCATGCAGGTGAGCACCAGCATGGCGTCTCCATACAAATCTCTGTAAATTTGGGTAAAACTTTTCTTCGGATATCTCGTATACGAAACATTCCTCTCACCTGAATCTTGGAGAGGGTCTTTGTATATGTACCTCCTTTCATTTCCCAAATTTTGGACTTTATCTATTGAAAGGTTTTGATTTTTATTTTGATCTATTTTGAATGGCGTGACAATGAAAACTAGCAATATTTATCTGACTGTACAAGAGACCGATGCTCACAGATTTCAATCACAACAACGGTGCAAGTTCCAGATGAAGGGCTTTAAGGAACAAATTTATCTGGCACCTTTTTTAGCCATTGTGACGTGTACGTCAACATTGACGTTACCATGGAAACCGAGGTTTCAAAGCTGTGTTTTTCAAAATTTGCACTTTCTCTTAAAAATAGATTTTATTTTTATTTTTACTAATTGTATCATTATATTACACTTAATTTAGCATTACTAACATACTGTTAGTCACATTTTACTGATAACTTGGACGCACATCCTCACGTAGAATAGTGAAAAAAATAGAATGTGCTGGATTCGATTCCTGGAACTGCTTCTTATACTTTTACTTTTTCTTTTTTTTTTTCTTTATTTCTTTCTTTCTTTTTTTCTTCTCTTGTTATTGTAGTTTTCTTTTTTTGTTTACATATTGTAGATTTTTATATTTGTATATTTTCTTTTCCTTACTGACTCTTTCCCTTCCCTTCTTCTTCTTGCAGTAAGCCCCAAGTGTTGCTCCCTCCCGGGCATTCAGTAAAAGTATGCGTACTGATAAATTAATGAAGAACTTTTTTTTGGCCTTTCAGTTCCCCTTGGTTCCATTCAAGAATTGCCAGCTGAGACTTGTGACGAAATTAAGAGGAGTGAAGGACAGGCTGTCAGCGGGAAATACTGGTTTTCGACCATAAAATCTGGAACATCTGTTCTGGCTTATTGCAATATGAAGACCAACGGTGAGTTTGATCAGTTATGTCAGTTAGGGACAGACCATTAGCAAACCTATCGGGGGGCGCGCGAAGTACTAAAAAATTATTCGCGCAAGAGAAAATTAAATGAAAAAAAATTCATGCACGCCAATTAACCCTAAAAAATATTAATGCTATGGCCTAAAAAAAATTCATACGAAGAATTTGATAACGAAAAAAAATTCCTGTGGCACCAAAATCCCCCCCGCGACCCCCACACTGGTCCCCCATAACTTATATGTAATCGGCTACTGATTAAGCTTGTTACTTTTTTCGATATTTCATCACGCCGAATCGCTGACTATGTTAAATCGGGAGATGTAAACTAATCAAGCACACCCAAAAAACTTGAAAAAAAGAATTGTAAGCAAAAACTCATGTTAGATAGGAATGAGTACTCTTTGTGTCACATGTTAGGGGTTAAAGCCGTTCATTAATTAATGTTTGTTTGTCCAGACATTGACGAATGCAGTGCTTCTTCTCCGGTATGTGATATTAACGCAAACTGCTCCAATACTCGTGGATCTTATTACTGCACTTGCAAGGCAGGATTTACTGGCGATGGAAAAACTTGCCAAGGTAAATAAGATAATTAAGCTAATTTGAACAGTTTTGTTCAGTTTACACTGAGTTTAGTTCAGTTTATTTCCCGTTACAGACAGGTTACAGGGAAATGTTGCCATAGAATTAATATGAAAGCTTGAGTATTATGGCCAAGTGATTAATATGTTTAAAATAAATACAGGCGATGAACCAGAAAGAGTAAAATTAAATAAATAAATAAACAAGAACGTAATAATATAAAAGATGTAAGACACAATTAATGACAATTAATACCAATTAAACAAAATACAAAAGATCTAGCATTTAAAAAAGTATTTAATACGGACAAGCTTTGAAAGAAGTGAGTTTAGGCAGAATTAGGTAGTGCTAGGACTGGATATTTCCATTAAGAAAGTGGTTTTTTAATTAAAGTTGTTTTTCTTAGACATTGATGAATGCAAAGCTTCTTCTCCTGTATGTGACATCAACGCTAACTGTTCCAATACTCGTGGATCGTATGACTGCACCTGTAAGGTAGGATACACTGGCGATGGAAAAACTTGCCAAGGTAGGAGAAAATACTTATTAAAAGGTGGTACAATCCTCAAAAATCACTATTTTTTCTTATGTTATTTTGCAAAAGTTTACCAATGCATTTTTAGACTACAACACAAGATAAGTTTATTTTTGCACTTTTGGACCTGATCAGTTACCATGGCAACCAATAATGGCAAAAAGATACCCCCCAGAGTTGCCCGTACTAAAACACTTCTATCTCCAACACGTTACAAAGAAAAATGCTAAAACTTCTGGAATTTATTCTTTAAATGCTATTTCATACAATGAACTAAAGAAATACTGTTCAGTCTCATAGATCCAAAATTATCGCAAGAAGCATATTGACATTCAAAATTCAGTGAAATAAGGATCCAACTTTGGCCTGTTAGACAACAAGGATTGCACCAGAGTACATGATTGTAGTTCATTGCATGTAAAAATATATGGAGATTTTTCACTCCAAAAATGAAAAGAATTGAATAAAACCATGGAAAGTTATGGCTGGTAGCATGTTGCTAGTTCCGTAAAATTCAAAATTATGAGAAAAAATGGGTTAAAGTTTGTGAAATGCAATTCTTGAGACTGTCACAGAGTTCCTGCAAATATAACTCAATTAGAACTCTCCACAGGCATAGTTTACACCCTCTCTTTGCTTGTTTTTGTCATCTTTTCTTTTCTTCAGGCCTCTGATGACTTTTCTCCTCTTCTTAGTGCTTGCTTTATTTTTATACTCCGCACCGTCCACTCGTAGCTGATCTTGAAGTTTGCACCCCTCTTCAGTATATTTTCCAGGAGGAATGTTTAAGCCTTGGAACAGCTTGATAACAGTTACTGCTCCAATATTGAAATGGGAAACTGCATCATACAGTCCTAATTCTAATGTTTCTCTTCCAACGTAAACTTCTTTTGGGACTCTTTGCCAAATCATTCCATTTAAAGATTCATTTTGATTCTGTGTCTTGCCATGCAAGCACTTCTCAAGCAAGCTGTCCTCACTGAGTCGAATATACTCTGGCTTTAATTTTGCAATTACCTCTAAAGGTAAGCCTGGCCCATGCTTGTAAAGCTTCGTGCCATTGGCTTTATCCTGCTGATACCGGCACCAGCTTGCACTGCCTGTTGGGCAATGGTCATGAAGTGGGCGTGCCTCAGTAGACGCACAATGCATCAGGCTAGCATGAATGGCTTTCTTCATGCCAGCAAGATCTCCAACATTTGATCTTATGGCTATGCCATAATAGTTCTGCAGTTTATCAATTTGACTGTCTGTCAGTTTGCCCTTGCCTCCCAGGCCTGGATTCTCACGCTTCAATTTACGAAGTGCAGTTCCCACTCTCTTCTGGACATGACCAATACATTCCTTCTTTTCCATTTCAATACCAGCATCTTCATAAACTCCTTTTACTCGACTGAAACTTTTACTGTCACCGTCCCCATAGAATTCAGTGTATCTGAGGTTGTGCAGTTCTACAGACCTTTGAAATATGCGCTCTGCTCCTTCCGGCTCCATAGCTGGTGCTGATCCCCGAAAATTAGCTTTACACTTAGTGTGCTCAGCTCTCCAAGTCTGATATTCAAGAGATGTTTTCTCTAAGTGTTCATGGCGCTCACATTGTTTGCAACCTTGACTGAGGGCTTCTACATCGAGCACCCTTCCTGTGTCCATGGATATTACTGTCACACAACCATTGCGTGACGAGTAGCCTCTCTTTTGCCATGTGCCATCACATGAAACGCCACAATTAAATGGTCCAGCTTCAGACGCAGTGCATTGGTTTTTGAAGGCATAAATATCTTGACCGGCTTTCTTCATACTCTCTTTTGCTATTTCTTTGACGTGACAGCCGATCACACGTGAGTTGAAAATGAACGCTTTTTCAGTGGGAGGTGGAGGCATGTTCATGATCGCACAGAATTTTCTTGCTCCTGCATAACCCTTGCCAATGGTTCTCATTCCATAGACAAGACGCCGATTTACTTCGTAGCTCTTCCCCTGCTTCTTCGAAGTGCAAAAGGAATGTTTCCATCCACAATGCTCGCACAACAAACGCAAAGTCGAGGCACATCCCTTCCGCTTCATGTTGTCTTCCATGAGCAAAAGGCTGAAATTGCCACAGTCGCCGCACCGTAGCTGCGCAAAAACAGACGACAGCACCTCCATATCACAGAATCTAAGCCCTGTAATAGCAGGACTGTTTTCCTCTGAAATTTGGTCGTCTACCTCTGGTTTAGGCTTCTCTTCTTGGGTATTTGTCACAAGCTTTTGAAACGAAGCCGAACATTCCTTCGCTGCCTTCTGACAGTGCAAAGAACTCGCTCCCGATCCACTTGAAGTGCTTTCCAAAGCAACTATTTCTTCGTCTTGAACTCTTTCCTTACTCGTAAAACGATTTCCATGAAATTTTCGCTTCTTGCGTCTTTGACACGAAAATTTTGGCATTTTTGTACGAAAACTCGTGTCACTCGTGAAAATTCACACAGCTCAGCGATTGCAAAAGGCCTCATTGTTTGCTCAAAGTAGTTGAAAACGAGGCTGATGGATACCAGTCTCCCAGGGTATGTGCCTCGGCCAGAAAACTTCGTTGAGAGCAATTTCAACAAGTTTCAAGGCACTTTTCAGCCCCAAAACGACGCGTAAACAAACGCGTTGCCATGGAAACCAAATGACACTTCTTTCAAAATTGCAATTTATCACTATATACGAACGGAATATTGACAAAAAAACTATACTGCCAAAAAATTGAATCATAAAAGATGTGAACACGAGCAAAAAAATTTTTAGACAATTTCTCATTTGAAGGAAAGTTAATTTACTGCAACTGTACCATCAGGGATGGGGCAGCTCCTGGAGACGTGTGATCATTTAAGATGGCGGCTAGTCTGAACGAGATCGGCAATCCGTCGAATCAGACCGTGTTAAGCTCCTCAGGTATTGGACAATATCAGGATGTTGTGTACTACGCTTCTTTAAAGGGGCTGCGTGAAAAAACGCAACGTTTGAAGCCAGTTATTTAACGAAAAGTGATGTTTAAATTACTCAGCACCATCGTCAGTTGAATGCCATTAGAAAACTTACGGGGGAGGGGGGGGGGGGGCGGGCGAAGTAAAAAAAAAATATTCGCGCAAAAGAAAATAAAATGAAAGAAAAAAATCATGCACGCCAATTAACCCTAAAAAGTATTCATGCTATGCCCTAAAGAAAAATTCATACGAGGAATTTCATAACAAAAAAAATTCTTGCGGCACCACCATTCCTTACCCTCCCCCGCGACCCCCCATAACTTATATGTACGCCGTAATTTTTAGGGAGTTATTATAACTCCAAAAATGGAGTAAAAATTTTAGGTACAGGATAACCCCTTTTTGGGGTTATTTTAACTCCTAATTTAACTCCGAATTTGGGGTCATTTTTACTCCTGAAAAAGAGTTCTTTTTACTCCCAGTCTTGGAGTTAAAATTACTCCGAAATGGGGTTACTTGTACTCCTTACAGGGGTTGTTTTTACTCTTTTTGGAGTTAATTTAACTCTGAAAGTGGAGTAAAAATTTTAGGTACAGGATAACTCCTTTTTTGGGGTTATTTTAACTCCTCAATTTCTGGGATCACTTTTACTCCTGAAAAAGAGTTCTTTAAACTCCTTTTTGGAGTTAAAATAACTCCACGAAAAATAACTCCACTGTAAGGAGTTAAATTAGCCCCACTAGAGGAGTTATTATAACTCCCTGAAAATTACAGTGTAATTGGCGACTGATTAAGCTTGTTAATTTTTTCGATATTTTATCACGCCGCATCGCTGACTAAATTTAACCGGGAGATGTAAACTTATCAGGCACAAAAAAAAACTTGAAAAAAGAAATTTCAAGCAAAAACGCATATGTTAGATAGGAATGAGTACTCTTTGTGTCACATGTTAGGGGTTAAAGCCGTTCATTAATTAATGTTTGTTTGTCCAGACATTGACGAATGCAGTGCTTCCTCTCCTGTATGTGATATTAACGCAGACTGCTCCAATACTCGTGGATCTTATTACTGCACTTGCAAGGCTGGATTTACAGGCGATGGAAAAGCTTGCCAAGGTAAATAAGATAATTAAGCTAATCTGAACAGTTTCGTTCAGTTTAGTTCAGTTTATTTCCCGTTACAGACTTTACACGGGTTACAGGAAAATGTTGCTATAAATTTAATATGAAAGCTTGAGTTTTATGGCCAAGTGATAGCAATTATGTTTAAAATAAATACAGGCGATGAGCCAGAAAGAGCAAAATTAAATAAATAAATAAAAATAAACAAGAGCGTAATACAAGAAGAGATGTAAGAAACAGTGTTTTGAAAGAAGTGAGTTTAGGCAGAATTAGGTAGTGCTAGAACTGGATATTTCCATAAAAAAAGTGTTTTTTTAATTAAAGTTGTTTTTCTTAGACATTGACGAATGCAATGCTTCTTCTCCTGTATGTGACATCAACGCTAACTGTTCCAATACTCGTGGATCGTATGACTGCACCTGTAAGGTAGGATACACTGGCGATGGAAAAGCTTGCCAAGGTAGGAGAAAATCCTTATTAAGCTAATTTGAAGGACAGTTAGTTTACTTTACTGCAGCTTTTCCATCAGAGATGGGGCAGCTCCTGGAGACGTGTGATCATTTAAGATGGCGGCTAATCTGAACGAGATCGGCATATCCGTCGAATCAGACCGTGTTAAGCTCCTGGTATTGGACAATATCGGAATGTTGTGTACTACGCTTCTTTAGGGGTTGCCTAAAAACCGCAGCGTTTGAAGCCAGTTATTTAACGAAAAGTGATGTTTAAATTACTCAGCACCATCGTCAGTTGAATGCCATTAGAAAACTTATGGGAGGTGGGGGGCGGGCGAAGTACAAAAAAATATTCCGCAAGAGAAAATTAAATGAGAAAACAAATTCGTGCACGCTAACTAACCCTAAAAAAAATGTTCATGCTATGGCCTAAAGAAAAATTCACACAAGGAATTTGATAACGAAAAAATTCCTGCGGCACCACAATTCCCAACCACCCCCTCGCCCCCGCCCCCGGTTCCCCATAACTTATATCAGTCGAATCGGCGACTGATTCAGCTTGTTAATTTTTTCAATATTTCATCACGCCGTATCGCTGACTAAGTTTAACCGGGAGATGTAAACTAATCAGGCATACAAAAAAACTTGAAAAAAGAAATTTTAAGCAAAAACTCATATGTTAAATAAGAATGAGTACTCTTTGTGTCACATGTTTAACCTGAGATCAGGCCCAATTTGAGCGATTCTCATACATTCTCTCTAACGGCTACCGCTGAAATTGAATTCTCTTTTCGTTTCGCCATGCCCGCCGGAATGTTATTTACAAAGCGAAACGAAAATAGAGCCTGATCTCAGGTTATCACATGTTGGGGGTTAATGCCGTTCATTAATGTTTTTTTGTCCAGACATTGAGGAATGCAGTGCTTCTTCTCCTGTATGTGATATTAACGCAAACTGCTCCAATACTCGTGGATCTTATTACTGCACTTGCAAGGCAGGATTTACTGGCGATGGAAAAACTTGCCAAGGTAGGAGAAAATCCTTATTAAGCTAATTTGAAGGAAAGTTAGTTTACTGCTGTACCATAAGAGATGGGGGAGCTCCTAGAGACGTGTGATGGCGGCTAATCCGGTGACGTGCTCCAGACCTCGGGCACAAATTTCTTAAATTTCCTTCATAACTTCATCGACACATTACCACCAGTATTTTTTGACTATTTTACCTACCGTTTCTGAGTAAAACTACCGCTGTGAAAATACTGTACAAGTAAAACAGGGCCTATTATGCACTGCCACGTCCTTGGCAGCGTGGATTTGGATTATAAAACGTATCGAGAAGGATCTTTCCTCAAACCCTTTTCTTATACAGATGTGAACGAGTGTCAAACAGGATCACACTCCTGCCATGCTCAGGGTCAGTGTGTTAATGTTCCTGGCTCCTACTCTTGTAAATGTTTACCAGGCTACACGGGCGACGGAAAAAGCAGATGTGAAGGTACATATTTCCAAAATTTAATAAGTATAAAGGACTGGCCATAAGTATGGGGGTGTGCTGGGGACAGAGAAGTGGTGGGTTATCAGTTTCTTCACCCAGTTGAAGGGGTGGGTCGATCAATTTTCAGCTAACCTTTGGTGGTCCGCATATCTAATGAGCGGCACGGGTGAGATAATAATGGGATAGTTGGCCACAGTAAAAAAACATAAAACAAAGGAATCTAAAACTATTGCTTTGAAATTTTTTTTAAACATCTTGACTTGTGTCTTTTTTTAAAAGGCAATTTTAATGCAATTAAATGTATGATGTTTGGTTTTTACATTTCATTGCTGTTTAACATTCTGCTAACTTAGTAACCCTTGGACGTACAAACCAAGCGAACCACGTCGGCACGACAATTAATTAGATACGATAGGCTTTTTTATTCAAATGTAATCCGTTAAAGAATCAATTCCCATAACCTGAAGGCTTTATTGATTGTGATCAATAATAACATAACTGGCTTTTACAGTCCTCTCAGTAAACCAGCGATCTACCAACAGCCCTAACCCCTCCATCAGCTCTTGATGTCCATGCACGCGCTTTAAATCGGTTTTGCCTTACACTTTTTTAACAGTTCCTACAATGACGGCGACAAGCTCCTGCTCTAATCTTCTTGTGCGTGACGCCAGCAAACCAAGTGGTACGATTTACTCAACTAATAGATATAGAGGCTCGGCATACAGTAGTAATATGGATTGTCGATGGAATCTAACTTCGAATGCAGTGATTGAACTTTTGTTCTACTATTTCACCACCCAATCGTCGACGGACTATGTACGTGTGTACGATGGTGACTCGATCTCCGCACCTCTGATTGGCGAATTTAGTGGAAGCTCCCTCCCAGCGCCTATCACAAGTTCGTCCACCAAGCTATATGTGCGGTTTACATCTGATGGATCTTCAGAGTATAGAGGATTTAACGCGCGTTACCGAGGTATTTTTATTGGTAGACAAGATGAATAGAAAAAGCTCTGTGATCTTTATTAGCGGGCTCCCTGGTTAGTATGATAAAAACTTCCCAGCCGTACACACGAAAACGTAACAACAATCTAACAATATTTATTTTCGGTTCAACTATTTGTGCGAAATTAGACTTTGATTGTATATCTAGCTGGAGTTTTGAAAACGTTAGCCAAAAACTATCTCCAAAGTAGCCAATATAAAAGCTAACTAGGATGCAACCATTCCTTTTTTTTCTCTTCTCCTCCTTTCAGTTCTCCTCGTTCTTGCCCTTCTTAAGTAGATTATAGGCCTTGGTCTAATTGGTTTTATTACGTTTGGAAAATGACTATGGCTATTACTGGCTATTACTTCGGCACAGAGGATGGAGGAGAATCAAAATTTGGCACACATAAAAAAATCCTTGTCCTTAACATAAACTATATAAATGCTGTGTTAATAAGTCATGTGATATGTCACGTGGCCAGTTTTTTTTTTAATCTTAAATAATTGACAAACTGGTAACGGGTTTAAGGAAAGAAATCAAGTAATTGATAACATTTTTTCTCATTCATATTAAATATTTCTAACACTCAAAGTCAAAGTTTATAGAGAGATTTTGCAAAGTATTCAAGGATAAAGACAATAGCACTAGCCTGCAAAATTGCTAGCGCTAATCTAGGCGGGTAGTGGAGAGACTATGTACAGTGTAAATTTATTAGTAAGTTCTACATAATTAATAAGCTAAAAATATATATATATATATAATATTAATAAGCTAAACATATATCTAGCCGGATTTTTGGAAACGTTATCGCCAAATGGACCTTTTCCGTCCAACAGTTTTCGGTCAAAAACTCCAAATAGCCACTATAAAAACTGCAAAGACTGCAACCATTGTTTCTTCTCTTCTCTTTCCGTCTCCTCACTCTTTCTTTTTCTCCTTTCCTTTTCTTTCGTTACTGGCTTAAGAAACCTTCCTTTTGACGCCTTTTCACTCAAACGGCTGCAAATCTCGTTAGGTTGGTTTTCAAAAAATCAACATGATATAAAGATGTGCGAATAGATAATCGATGTTAAGGACTGAAAGGAAGAAAGTGGGTAAATAAAGCTACTTTAGACATACATCTTAAGACTTATCTATACGGGTGGGTATACCAACATAATTATCCTCTTCCTTCACGTTTGGAATGACTGTCCATTGCACTTTCGTAAAAATTATGAGGGAAAACATCATTTTAAATGCTCAAAATTAATCTTTAATTCTTAGAACTTTAATTCTAAACTTTGCGTACATTCACTCCAAACGTAGAAAATAAGTATGTGTACAGTGTATCAGAAACGCCAATTTATTTATCCAAACAGAGTAAACTCGCCACTAATTCGCCAATTTCCTTCATTTTCAATTTTTGGTCGCGTGACATTTTACGAGACCATAATTTTAAGGCACAAGAAGACCTCAAGTCTGCCCAGACCTTAAACCCTTGAGTTTTTACTTTCTTTCTCCTTCGTTAGTGTCATATTCGGCCATATCACTCGGCAAATGACTGCAAAAATTGCTGGGCTGATTTTTAAAAATTCCGCTAGATATGTAAAAAGCTGTGAGAGAAGAATAGCTAATTATGTTTAGAATGTAAGTCCAGCTACCCCGATTCCGGAGAGGAAACACAGGACATATTTAATGAACAAGTCGACGTTAGCGACAAAAGTCCCCCCGCCCCTGACCTTTGACCCCACTAAAACGGACTTTTACAAAGCGTAAATTATAAAAAAATACGGTATAAAATTTTAAACCCACTTTACCTTTTATTTGAACGCTAGCTGTGACATCCGGTTCAGTTCGTCTCAAAGATGGCACCCCATTGGCTGGAAGAGTTGAAGTGTTCTATGATGGTCAGTGGGGAACAGTTTGCGATGATGCTTGGGACATAAATGACGCTAACGTGGTCTGCAAACAGTTGGATTTGTCGCAGTCAGCTACTAACGCTTGGAGCAGCGCCTATTATGGTCAGGGCTCCGGTCCCATATGGATAGATGACGTGGCCTGCTCAGGTAGCGAATCACATATCTACGATTGCAGACACCGTGGATGGGGAAACAATGACTGTACACACAGCAGAGATGCCAGTGTGCAGTGTTCGGCTAACATTCGTTTGGTGAATGGCAGTGTTAATTATGGCCGAGTTGAAGTTTATCACAACGGTCAATGGGGCACAGTCTGTGATGATGGCTGGGATATCAATGACGCTCATGTAGTTTGTCGTCAGCTTGGTTTCCCCAGTGCGTCCTCGGCACCTCATCGGGCACAGTATGGCCAAGGATCTGGCACTATCTGGATGGATGATGTCCATTGCAATGGAACAGAGGCTTCATTGTTTCACTGTACACGTAATGGTTTGGGAACACACAACTGTGTCCATAGGGAGGATGCAAGTGTGGTCTGTAACACTTAAATGAACTGTTTGCGCATGGGGCCATGCTTAATTTGGGTTCATAGAACAGGGGCGGATCTAGTTGGAGGGTGCAGGGGGTGCGCCCCCCTCCGAGATAACCTGCGGTTTTCTAATACAACTGGTATTCTGCCAAAAAAAAAACTGTGTGGTTTATTGGTGCTGAAGTAGAGCAAGAGATGAGTGCACCCCCTCCTAGAAAAAATCCTGGATCCGCCCCTGTAGAAATTCAAATGTGTATCATGCCTATTATCTCAACACTGATTCTAAAAAGTCTAAAAAGCGCTTACGTGTGACAAGAATTAACTTAGATGAATTATAACAAACGAAGTTGTATTTCTAAAGATATAGCTGTAAGTAAAATTCCCAGTCTTATTAGACTATTTTGTTAAGCCCGAAAGGGAGCCATGTCACGAGGATTTTGCTGTTTTAATTTCAATTTTGTGCCGTAAAATAAATCATTACTCAGTGCCTTCACACGTGTAAAGTGATACTGTAGAATTGTGAAGAATATATTTAACACATTTTGTCAAGGAGCACAGCTGAACCATAATAACTTTTACATGTAATGGTAATTTTTGCAGGCATTACATTAAAACTTGAAAAAATTGGACCTCAATGCATGTCCATCCTTCTATAAACTAATTAACATCTTTAGCACTGCAGGCAGCGGATCGGAGAGATATTTGTTGAGATATTTGCGTTAGCTTGCGTTATCATAACGGGCTGAGATCCAAATGTCGAGAAAATTGCTCATATGCAAAAACCATAACACCAAAGGTTTACCAAATCGTTTGTAAAAAAAAAAAAAATTGAAGAACTGTTCGAGAACAGTAGTTATTTTTCTAGTATATAATCATCTCTGGTCGTATCTGCAGGTGACGAGCCTGCAGGTAAAACTTCCCTCCCATTAGGTTTGAATTTCGGCGCGACCAAAGAAAGGAGTAATCTCATCCCAGGGGGAGGGTAAGGGATGAGAAACATATAAAAGACAAATTGGTAGCAAGGCCCGTTTGTACAAAGTTTGTAAACCTACTCGCCATTATAGTGAGGATAATAAGGGACTTACATAGCAGAATTATTTATTGAAATGGCTTAATCCTGCGTAGTCGGCGGGTTTTTTCCGCGTCTTTTGTTCGTGTTTTGTCAAGAAAGAGGCTAAGCGAGAAAACGAAGGAGGAGTAGGCGAGAGATCGCCTGCATTCAACCCAGGATTCAACCCCCATAGGCGATTATCACCTCCTCCGGATCTCCTACAAAGACGGTTTTGTAAGCTTATTACGCAACGATCCTCTGATTACTGAGAAATAAATGAATAAATAATTGTTAAATTTGAGGATAAATAAATAAACGCGGAACAAATCCAAAAGTTTGTTTATCAGGAGCTCGGCTCCTATTCCCGGGGGGGGGTACTCTCTTATATAAGCCATTTAGTTAGATGTGCCCCAGGTATGCACTTTGCCCATTTTGGTCTAGTCTGGAATCGGGTATGGTTTTCGAGGGAACTACAGGAGTGTATGAGCGTATTTATCGTTTCAATTCCAAATAAATAAGAAAGAAAGGGTAATATGCAAATTCGACTGCTTTTGAAGAATGTTTTTGTTTGCGTTTTAATCTAAGTATTGCATTGATGGCGTTATTTTTGCTTAAAGGCCTAGCTCCGGTCAATAGAAGGATAGCGCTTTCCATCGGATGAATCAGTATCCATCAGATAAGTATCAGGGAAACGAATTGCGCTATCCAGTGGATAGTGATTTATGCGATGGCTAAGTTTAACCCTAGAGTTAAGCTATAGTTTAAGCAAGCTTTTCTTGTCTAAGAACATTCAACTTGAGCTTACAAAATACGGTTGGGCCTTTGCTCCAAGATACAGTAACGACACATAATGTTACCCTAAGCAATACATACTACATAAGAAGGCAAAATACCAAAAAAGGAACAAAATATAAATCCTGGATTAGTGCTAATCGGTCTTTCAGGAACTGGACCCCGCTATCCCCCACCTTTTGAACAACTGGCGCCAGATCTGAAAACGGGTATGGATTTCAGAGGTCAGGACCCAGTTGTTCGAAAGGCGGTTAAAGCTTTCCCCTGGATAAATCTCTACCCAGTTCATACAACAATTCCCCTTCTGTACGTCAGATTTCACGTGCACTTTCACGTGACTTTTGACGACCTTTGTTGTAAACAAACCCGTAAAGTTCGGACATCCGTCCGCTAATATTTATCTGCTGAATAGTAATGTCAGAACGTAATTTATCCGCTGGATAGCGTTTGAACAACCGGAGAGTGGTCTGAAAACGGGTGGGGAAAATGACAATTTTTGGTCTGAAACGGGCTCAGGAGTTGGAGAACCGGGCGGCACATCCCCACCAAGAATTCCCAGAACATCTCTTCCCCACCCCCTACCCCCGCCCCCGAGCTCCTGTTTAAGAACTCGCGACATGTAATGAGAAGGAGTGGGAACTAGTGGTTCCCAGGTTTTCTTTGTTGATCATCGTTCATGTAATATTTCCAAGGCAACAAAACTTTTGCCGCAAGTTTTTCGTCTTCTCCTCCATCAGCTGCAAATATTCACTTGGGGAAACAAACAGAATGATTCCACCGAATACTTCGCTGGTAAAATATGACAATCCAGTTCTTGTAAGCAGGAACACAGACAAGAAATCACCAAGGCTAAGTTGATATCTTTCAAATATGGCGTCGTCACGCTGACCATTTGCATGTTGAGCAGTTTGTTTCCAAGTTGTTCCGCTTGAAATTTCGAGTTTTGCTGTCCTGAATATAATAAAAAATAGTGTTATTTTTACTCCTAAATCTTTTAAGAAAGGTTACACACGGTTTTTTACTTGCTAATGAAGTTAAATACAACAAAAATTGTGAAGATATAATGTCAAAATGTGGTTTAGATGTAACTTTGTTAGCTTCAACAATTTATTTTAATAAATTGTTGAAGTCGACCTTCTTTCTGTCTGTAGGCTCGTTCCCTAAAAGTTAGCCAACAGCAGGGTTCAGGAAATGCTGGAGCAGGACCAGTTCCTCAGCCACCTCGAACCAATAAACTTCCACCAATGGATGCACAGAAAAATCAACAGACGGATGAGATACTCAATGCTATTTTGCCACCCAGGTTGGGCCTGACTAGTAATTTTAAAATAAGTATGATATCTTAAGTGCATCAGCTCTGGGTTCAAATAATTAATTTGATACTCAAGGATAAACTTTTGTTAAGTTTATCTGAATACCTAGAATGGGAATGTGAATATGGGGATTAATACACTTACATAATGGCAACTGCAGAAATTGAAATGTAAATGAAGATAATTATGCCTCACGCAGTTGTAATAGCAATGTATTTTCTCAGGGATGGTTCGGGGAGGGAGGGGGGCTCAAAAGGATTCAAACCAACGGATTCCACATGAGCGTTTTGGTACTCTCTTTTAACTAAGCTATGCATGAAGACTAATCAATGTACATTAGTAGCCTGTGAGCAAGCTCTTTAATCATGGCAAGCAAAGCGAAGTTTGTAGTGAATGTAATTACACACGTGGCTTTTCATTAGGTTGTACTTTCAATGTCACCAAATAGTTATTAGTAAGTTTTTATTGCTATGTTATGACAGAGAGTGGACAGAAAATGGACAGTTATGGGTACAACAGGTGTCTAGCACTCCAGCCACAAGATTAGATGTTGTCAATCTGCAGGTACATACACATACTTTTACTCTTATAACATTCATGAAGGACGTTGGAAATTTAACTCTTTTAAAGTAATGCGTTATTGTTGTAATTCTGACACTTACACTTTTTTGTTTTTTTTTTCCTTCAGTTAAATATTATATTGCATGTTATTGTGAAATAATTTTAAACTCCACTTATGTCAGTGTAATTGTTCTGTGTTTAGGAGCAACTTGACATGCGTCTTCAACAGCGACAAGCAAGAGAAACAGGAATCTGTCCTGTTAGGAGAGAGCTTTACTCACAATTTGCTTTGGTGAGTTTTTATGTTATCGTTTTACACTGTAAATGTTATTTTATAGTGTGTCAAATTTGTCACAGTCAAGTCTTTCTATTGTCAGAGTGAAGGCTGGCACCGCAAAAGAACTGAAGTGTCTGCATGGCCCATAGGAGATTGCTAGAATGAATGTCACTCCACAGTCAAAGAAAATTATTTAAGAATAGCCGGGTTCAACTCTAGGTGTCTGCTATGGGATGGTGTTCAACTACATATACTGTATACAGACAAGCCTTCTCAATATTATGGATACCAAAGGGACAGAACCTTGTGTCCCCTTTTTAGAGCTGACAGTCTGTATTAGATACGGAGGAACCTATCAAGTATGCAAGGATGTGCAGTAACATTGTGGAGTTGTCCCTAAGCCATTTTTTTGTAGTAATAAGTAATAAAGATGCAATCCTGGACAAAAGTCCTTGGGACAATACTGCAACATTCCTATTTTTCTGTTATTTCTCGGTTCCTCTTAAAACAGTGTATCATTTTCGAAATTTTCTTGCAGTTCTCCCTCCCCCCCAACCTATACAAAGTTGAAACTCGGAAAAAAATTCTGGATACACACGTCCAACATTGTTTGTGAGGTGAGGGGAGGGGTTGGACCTGTGTGAATTGGAAAACGCCCCAGAAACACAAGTGTCTCAAGACTTTTGTCCATGATTGTAGTTACTATCTCTGCAACTCTAAAATTCATAATATTATTATTAAGAGTGATTATAGTCTATTCATAGAGAGGCACTTTAATAGACCATGTCTTGTACTCTATCAATTTTAGATGAGCTGATTCGCCAGGTGACAATTAACTGTGCAGAGCGTGGTCTTCTATTGCTGAGGTATGTTTATATGCATTGCACTGTTCTGAAAAATTGAATGAAGTCCTTTTTGTCGACTATAAAGTTCAATATATTTTGGTTTGAAGATTCTTCGATGGCAAGTTAGAGTAGAATATTTTATAATGTATAGGATAAGATGTGATCTATCAATATAAATTATAAGCTGGCCTTTATACATGTATGAGGTTGATATCTGGTTGATTGCTGTGAGTCCCCAGGTTAGCAGCACACTAATCTTTGAGTATCCTGTGGTTTCTTAGGTAATTCCTGCCATTATTTAGGTATTACATGATACAATCTGGATAAATTTATATTTATAATGTTTTTCAGGATGATTTTTAGCAATTATGTCTGCCATCATAACTCAATCTGAACGGCTGGGAAGTTCTTTTGGTTCTAAGTTCCTTTTGGTTCGACCCATGGAAGTATCTGTTCCTAGAAGTTGGGAGTATTGTAAGACCCCAGCCCTTAGTGATGGTAACCTAGCTGTCAATATGATATATATTTTTTGTTTTTGCTGCAGAGTGCGTGATGAGATAAGAATGACTATTGCTGCTTACCAGACTTTGTATGAGAGCAGGTGGGTGCAGACTTATAAAGCTTTTATCCCTTATGGTGGCAAGTTGAACAAAATGCAAATAAAAAAGCAATTCCTTCTGTCTTTCTCTCTCTTTTTTTTAATCCTAAGTAGTTGAGTTCCTTTCCCTCTCCTTCGTTAGTGTGATATTCGGCCCATTATCGGACGACAAATGACTCCAAATATTGCTGGGTTCGTTTTCAAAAATTCCGCTAGATTTGCAAAAAGTTGTAAAAGAGGAATGGCTTAACACAGGGGCACCCAACGACAATTTTCGGGAAAATATCTGTTCGGAAGACAATTTGAGATCTAGAATTTTCGGAACATTTGTTGTAAAATTTCTTGCTTGCATGCCTCTCCTAGGATTTTCGAACATATAAAAGATGGTATACTTGCCCATTTTGAACTCATTTTTACCCTAAAAAGTTCACCTAGAATTTTCGGGAGCCTATTTTCTGGCTAAAATTTTCGAAAAGGTAAGTTTTGACCCCTATAATTTTCGGATCACTAGACTGTCAGCTAGGAAATCCCAACAGATGAAAAATTTTTAGGGGATAAAGATATGCCTATATCTACCGTTTAAATACTAAAATACATTCAACAATGCTATGTTTAAGTGGTTTTGAACTATATTCTCGTTGGGTGCCCCTGTTAACAGGGGCACTCAACGACCACTGTTTTCCGTAAAATATCTGTTCGGAGAAGCAAGTACTGCCTAGAATGTTCTATTACTTGAGGAAGGCTAAAAATTCATAGATGACCGTTCCATTCACGTACCAATTTCGAAGCTAATTTAATAAATTCCCTACGATTTTCTTAAATTTCATTTTCACATTTTACACCCCAGGTTAGGCTATTTTTCGTAGGGAAAAGGAATCCTAAATTTTTCGGATTCAAAAATGTCATGGAGAGAGGAATCAAAAAAATTTTCTTTTTCGTAATGTGCTAAATTGCATCTACATTTTTCAGGAAAATAATACTGAAGCCCTTGTAATTTCGAAAAGACTCAAGTTCTCCTAGGATGACCGAACAGATACAACTTTTATAGCGCCGCTTAGAACGCATTTCTAGTGGTCTAAAAATACTCTGGATAGCCTGAAAAGTGTTTTAAATGAATTTGGGTGGAAACTGTCGTTGGGTGCCCCTGGCTTAATATGTTTAGAAGGTAAGTCCAGATACCCCGATTCCTGAGAGGAAACACGGGGACATATGTAATGGACATGCCACTCGACCCGAGCGACAAAAGTCTCCCCGCCCCCGACCTTTGACCTCACCAAAACGGACTTTTAGAAAGCGTACATTATAAAAAAAAATAGGGTGTAAAATTTTAAACCCACTTTACCTTTCATTTGAACGCTAGTTGTGACATCCGGTTCAGTTCGTCTCAGGGGTGGCACCCCAGTGGCTGGAAGAGTTGAAGTGTTCTATGATGGTCAGTGGGGAATCACGCTTGGAGCGGCGCCTATTACGGTCAGGGCTCTGGTCCCATATGGATAGATGACGTGGCCTGCTCAGGTAGCGAATCACATATCTACGATTGCAGACACCGTGGATGGGGACACAATGACTATACACACAGCAGAGATGCCAGTGTGCAGTGTTCTTATGGTTCTGCCAACATTCGTTTGGCGAATGGCGGTGTTAATTATGGCCGAGTTGAAGTTTATCACAACGGCCAATGGGGCACAGTGTGTGATGATTACTGGAATATCAATGACGCTCATGTGGTTTGCCATCAGCTTGGTTTCCCCAGTGCGTCCTCGGCACCATGCTGCGCGAGATATGGCCAAGGATCTGGCACTATCTGGATGGATAACGTCAAGTGCAATGGAACAGAGGCTTCATTGTTTCACTGTACACGTTACCGCTGGGGAATACACAACTGTGGCCATGGTGAGGATGCAAGCGTGGTCTGTAACACTTATTAACGAACTGTTTGCGCATGGGGCCATGCTTAATTTGGATTCATAGAAATTCAGATGTGTATCATGCCTATTATATTAACACTGATTCTAAAAAGTCTAAAAAGCCCTCACGTGTGACAAGAATTAACTTCGATGAATTATAACAAACGAAGTTGTATTTCTAAAGATATAGCTGTAAGTAAAATTCCCAGTCTTATTAGACTATTTTGTTAAGCCCTAAAGGAACCATGTCACAAGGATTTTGCTGTTTTAATTTCAATTTTGTACCGTAAAATCATTACTTACTGCCTTCACACATGTAAAGTGATAAACTGTAGAATTGTGAAGAATATATTAAACAAATTTTGTCAGGGAGCACAGCTGAACCATAATAACTTTTAATAGTGATTTTTGCAGGCATAGCATTAAACTTGAAAAAATTGTCTAATATACTAATTATCATCATAAATAGCATAGGAAGATATATATAATTACTTTTAATATTAAAAGTATCTATAGTAGCTCTACGTGTATTTGTATTCTTTGGTGGATATCCCTTTGCCATTTGGATTATTAATCCCAACGTTGCTTCCTAAAGAGGCGGCACACAAATTTATTCCTTTTTGTTTGAAAACGTCCAAACTAAAAAGGATGACTGAAAACAGAAGTTAATTATAATATAAGAGAACGGAGGTTTTTTAAGTAGTGAGTTAATGAGCTATTCCCGCTCACCCTCATCACTTTTAAGATACCCGGCTGCTCAACCCTGTTTCGCAGCCAGTTTCCTTAAATTTACGAGATTAGCGGGTATAGCTCATAAACCCACTACTATAAACATAAACCACCAAAGTGATTCAAAAAATAAAATTGAATTTAAAAAAATAATATACTAAAATTATAAAGGTTATGGCTGATTATTCGAGTTTATCATTAGCTGAATTAAAACAAAAATTCAACCAGAAAAAGAAATTATTAAGAAAAAATTATAAAGAAAAACTAATTCGTGATATTAGAAAATTAGATCAACTCAATCAAAAAATAAAAAAAGGTGTTAATATCAAAAAGAATGGAAAAATAAAAAGAAATCAAAACCCAAAAAGATAAAATCGTTTGATGAGTATTTTCAAGAATGCATTAAAAATAAAAAGATTCCAGCAGATACTCCTCCTTATTTTAGAAAGGCTCTTGAGAGAGCTATCAAAGAGCATAACCAAGGACTTGAGAAAGTGAAATCAGCTTTAGAAGATTTTGCTAGCAAATACACAATAAAGGGAGAGCCTGGTATTACTCCTCTGCAATTTTTCCAAAATAAGAAAACTATTCTCAAAAATTTTATCAAAAATCATAGAAATACAAAAGTAAAATTTGTCTTGGTTTGTATGATGGGAAAAATGGAAGTAGGCCCACAACAAAGATTTGAAGTTCAAGACAGAGCGTTTTTTCATTCAGAAACTTATATCAATCTTGTATCAACTGATGTAAAAGTTTTGCTTAAAAAAATTATCCGTAACATCATAGATAAGATCAAAGTCTATCAACAGAACGGAAGTAATTGGTATTTCAAAGAAGTTATTCAACTTGAAATTCATACTGTTGAATATGATCCTTTGAAAGGTTCCTCTTACATAGCTCTTCCAGATTGGATTATGAGAAAGAAAGCGATTGTAAGTATCAGAAATAAAGATGATAAATGTTTCTTGTGGAGCATACTCCGTTATCTTCATCCAAGAGAGAGGAATGATTGTCGTTTAGCAGATCTAAAACAATATGAGCATGAGATCAAAATTCCAAAAGGATTCGTTTTTCCAGTCAAAACCAATGATATAACTAAATTTGAAAATGCTAACCCCAACTTACCAGGCATCAATGTATTCTCAATTAATTCTAACAAAAACTTTTATACTCTAAGGTTGGCTTTACGTGATCCTCAAAATTCAATAGACTTATTTCTTTATGAAGAGGATGGGAAATGTCATTACTCACTGATTAAAAATTTTTCTCGTCTTTTAAGATCGCAGATTACAAAAAGAACAGATGAACCAATTCATATTTGTAAAAGATGCCTTAATGGTTTTACAAAAGATTCAATATTACAAAGACATATATTTTACTGTAAGAAAAATGGGACAGCTTATGTTAGAATGCCGGAACCAGGAAAAACGACTTTAAAATTTGTAAATCATCACAAACAAATTCCATTTCCTTTTGTAGCTTATGCGGACTTTGAGTGTTTTACTAAACCAATGAATACTTGCAGTCCTAATCCAGAAGATTCTTATGAATATAATTATCAAAAACACGAACCATCAGGATTTTGTATTTTTATTAAAGGAGTCGTTGATAAAAAAATAAAGCCAATCACTTTTACTAAAAAAGAAGAAGATGAAGATGTAGCAAAAATATTTGTAGAAAAACTCACAGAAGCAACTAGAGCAATTTATAATGATTACTATCGAAGACCAAAACCTCTTAAACTTACCCAAGACGAACAAAAATCATTTGGTAAGGCGAAATTTTGTCATATTTGCAACACAGAATTATTGGATGATAGAGTTAGGGATCATTGTCATTTCACAGGTCAGTATAGAGGTGCTGCTCATAACAGTTGTAATCTTAGGTGTAAAAAACCAAGAATACTACCAGTTATATTTCATAATCTTCAAGGGTATGATGCTCATTTATTCATAAAGCAACTGGCAAGCTTACCAGGAGAATTTCAATGCATTCCTTCAACTGAAGAGAAATATATATCATTCTCTAAAAAAATTAAAGTTGATGAATACAGATCTAGAAAAACTGGAGATATGGTTCCATTATATTTTGAAATTCGTTTTATAGATTCTCTTAAATTTCTTAAAACATCTCTTGCAAAACTTGTAGAAAATTTGCAACCAACAGACTTTATAAACACAAAAAGAGAGTTTAAGCAACATACTGAATTGCTAACCCGCAAAGGAGTCTATCCTTATGATTACGTTTCAAATCTAAAAAAGTTTTCTGAAACACAATTACCGCCAAAAGAAGCGTTTTATTCAAAGCTAAATGACGAAGACATAAGCGAAGATGATTACAAACACGCAATAAACGTGTGGAATAC